AATAGAAAAGTGACGTATAGTTAGAGAACACAACGCGAGTGCAGTCGTGGACACGCGACCTGTAGTTGCACGACTATCTCTCACGCCTGTGACATCTTTGGCACAACTTTGTGCAGTGCTCATCACCACTCTGTAATACGCGCCAAGAAAGAAAGGCGTATATCACGATCAAGGATCCATTGCTTTAAGTTATTTATAGTTTAATCCTGATATGAGAGTACAGCACTTTATGTACATCGACGGATACTGCATTAGTTTCGTACCATAACTATGCCATCCCATGTGATATGGAGTCTAAGACTGTAGGTTTAAATTATTTATTTTTTAAAAAGACACAATTTAAACTGAAATACTCGATATGATTTTTTGTTACGAAATGTTATAGGTCCAGTTAACGGCATAATATCGATCCTACAAAATAAGACATTAAAGAAAATATCACACAGTATAATAAGAACAACCAACTGTCATTGGTACATGGTGTACACAAATTTGATTCTACAACGAAATTCGTTAGAAAAATGGCATAGATTTTCTACTTTGAGTAATATGATATGCAAAATAAATGAAATATGAGCTTTTCCTAGAGCTCAGACAACACGCAAATGAGCTTTCAGACATTATTCGTCTTTGCAACAATCGCTGTTGGAAAAGAACTCCCAACTAAAAAAACCTCGCGGTACGGCGCTGTTTTGATAATGCAGCCATCGCCAACAAAACGACCGCCGAAAGTCACCTCACACAATAATCAACAGATATAGATATGTTTATACTGGTATGCTTCGTATCACAATCAGGTCGTGCCAACATATTGCCGATACCTTTCTCTAGGAAACCAAACTGAAAAGTAGAAAAAATTACGACAGAGTACTCACATGAGAGGACTTTTTGACGACAAAAACGTTTCACTCAACGCAGTGTGTGAAGCTTGCAATATATCGGCATCGGCAGTACTTAACACTTTTCTTCAAGCAGTGAGCAATAAATAGACTTATCACGATGCTCTATTATTACAACTGAAGGAAAAAACAATAAGTGGCTTCCAGACATTTTTGCAGAGGCATTTGACATGGATTTCGTGTTGCGGGTTTGCCTACTCTCCGCGCGCAAGGCGCTATGGCTCCCGCAGCTCAAGATGATATGCAATGCTACAGCACTGCAGCGTTGCGCTTTAGTACACCCGATACAGCAGTTAAGCTCATAAGTCGCCTGACTCCGAAAACCAGTGACTTGTTAGCTAAGGTCAGCCACCAACCTGACATCTTGTGGTCTGCTGGGCAACTACTACAGGGCTGATGTAAACGATCGAGGATTCATACCATAAAGTTATGCCGCAGAACAAGCAGGTGTTTTGTGGGTTGCCGACTGAACTATTCACCAGGCATTTGGGGACTGAGAAATTTAGTCGTCTACCTGCTGGACACCCGGGATTTACAGTGTAGCCATTAGCCAATCCATTTAGAGCCATTGCTTAACAAGACAAAACAAACAACAAAAAACAAAACAATTACATTCACTGATAAGTCTATTTGAGCTACCGCAGCGCTTTATATACACACATCTATAAAATCTGCTTGGTAACAAAATGAAAAGTGGTAAAACATCTATAAACTATCAATAGTACAATTATGCAAACGATCGTATCGATTTACACACCAACAAAAAAAATCCACGTGATATATCTTTGCTTTTCTTTTTTACAAGTTGGAGACGCGTTTTAATCACGTTGCACCATCGTGTGGAGAGGCGGCGCTCATGTCCAGAATTAACTAAAAATTGTACTATTTAGGGCTCTCTGCGCCGCGTCCTATCCGCACGCACTATTGTCACTCGTGTCCTCGCCGCTGCACGCGGGCGGGAGACGGAATGCAAGCGAGAGCAGCGTCAGTCTTCAGCACCGCCTTGCACGTGCGCGCGTCCGTGCGGCGTCGCGGCCAGCGTGTTGTGTTGTGTTGGCCGTGGGAACGCCGTGCGCGCCACGCGGCCAGCGGCTCCCTAAGTTGAATCGTTCGCAACCACCCGAGCTGGTTGCGCTGCCGGCCGAGGGTGGGTACGTCCCTCGGCACGGGCTTCACCCTGCAAGACACTCGGCAGGGCCTACCTCTGCAACAGGGGGGTAGAGTGAAGAGTTAGGAACATGGCGCCGACACAGGCAGGGAAATTAATGAGTTGCAATAGTTCTGACTTACCTAAACAAACCATTCGTCCTTTTGGCTGGAGGAGATGTCGCTAGAACAGAAGCAGAGGGAAAGAACATTAGCCCATTTTGTGCAATGTTTATGGAGGTGCAGGGTTGGTTGGTGGAGTACCGCTGCCGCCGGACTGACGGGGGGCGGCGAGCGGGCGGTGCGGGGGCGGCCCGGCCCGGCGGCACAACTTTGTCTCGCGCACGTGGGAAGGGGGCTGAGTGAGGGGTGGCGAAGTGCCCCCGTGGGGCAACAGTCGCAGGAAAGAAGTATAAAAGTACCCCGTGAGGGGACGAGCGGGGGGAGAGAAATAAGAAAGATAGCGGGCGCGAGGAGGGTAGTCCTCGCGGTGCAGCCCGCGCACTGCGGCTTACCTGTCTGAGCCATCACTCCTCACTTTGCCAGGCAGTAGTAGAGGTGGGCCCACACCGCGCTGTACCCGAGCTGTGTTCCCACAGGGCATAACCAGTTTCCCGGCTGCATCAGAGAGAGGGTGTGCGCCGGCGGCCCTCCCAGCGGCTGCGGCGGTCCCAGCGCCCCCAGCGGGCCCGCGCCGCCGCGGGTCAGGCTGGTGTGGCCGTGGTTCAGCCCCGGGCCTGTGTGGCCCGTGCCGTTGAGACCGCCGTGGTGCACCGGTTGGACTGCAACAGGAGGAAGACGGCGGTCAGCACCCGGCACCATACGGAGGCGCTCGGCAAAGCGCGAAGCTGGCAAAGCACGGATTTCTGACGATGTGTCGAGCCAAACTTACAGGAGTTGGCGCCCATTTGAGCCGGTCCCGGGCCTTGCCGGTAGAAGCACACCACCACGCCGACGCCGGCCAGCCCCAGGATGAGCACGGCGGACACGCACGCCACCACCAGGTAGGTGACGGACATTCCCAGGACCAGCCCGATCTCGCCACCTGCGTAAGAGCACAAGGTTAGGAACGCGCCAAGGAAAGGACCGCAAACACTATACAGAGCGTCAACTTTATTTGAGGACACTGCACTCACGTCCGCATTTCTCGCTGGCGGTCTCGTCGCTGCCGTCCGCGCAGTGGCTGACGCCGTCGCAGACCAGGTCCGTGTGGATGCAGAACTCCCTGGTCTTGCACTTGAAGTCGTTGCACGATGTCTCTGCGGGACAAAGGAGCAAACACACGTGTTACAGCGCACGGATTTGTTTGTGCCTACAGCGCGGGATTATTGCCGGGGAAGAACATCAACCTGGCCCGCTCTACCCCTCGCTCGCGCCCGGCTGTTTTACAGCGAGTTTGAGAGGAGGCAGAGGACGGGAAGGGGGTGAATCTTTCAACAGAACCCCGCAGTTACAGAGGAGTGACGACCAGAGGCGAAGGCGGGGGTATCGAATAGAGCCACCTCCGCCTGGGCGGCCTATGGGCACGACTCGGCCCGTGCGTGTCACAGTGTCACATGCGAGAACCCCGCGAGACAGTGTGTCCCACCCTCCCTGCTCCTATACATCACAGCACTTTCCGCACAACTTTCTTGGCGCGAAGAAAAATCCCGGACGTGGGCGGACGGGCGCCGGCACGGGGGGCGCTCGTGGACACGGCACCGGGGCCGCCCGGGGGTTAGGCAACCCATCGCGTTCGCGGTGCGGTGGGTGGCCTGGCCCGCGACCACAGGCTGAGGTCGGGCGGCGTCGGGGGAGGGAAGGGAAGACCCAGACCCACCACTCGGCACCGGAATTATCTCCTTCACGGATGAAGTAGTTTCGTGTCATTGGGCCGGG